CATTAGCAGAGTTTCACGTGTACAGACTGCCAGGAACAATGAGAAAAGGGAAATGCCACCTGAAAGGATGGGAGCTTGTTTGCCGAGAAGCCTCTGGGCTGAAGGGTTTAAATAGACAGAGAGCGAGGGGGGAAGCAGCTGAAAGGGGAAGTGTTTCATCCTAATTTGAGACAACAAAGAATGGGCCTTTGTGGAAGGGATGAAAAACACTTCTGCAGGCTCAGGGCAGCCTTTCCCAAAGCGTGCACACAGCAGCCGTGCCCCATCCACACAGCCCTGCACTGGAACCGGTGAACACGGGAGTGAAAACACCCCGGAGTTCAGAACACACAAACCCTCCATCACAGGATCCAGTAGTGGCAAATTCCGCCCCCGGCAGCTGCTTAGGGCAGTCACAAGATGAGAGTGAAGCTGAGCCCTTCCTGCTCAGACACAGCAGCCGCGAGCAGCGTGACACGGGCCCTGTGCCCTGCAGCCCCAGCACATGGGCTGCTCATGCCAGCTCTGCTCACTTCTGCTTCAACCCACCCCAAAACAAGCACCGGCAGCGTTTGGGGAGTGCCCAAGCTGCTCTCAGCCCAGGCACTGTGAGGATTTCGAGCAATGAAAAACAGCATTTGAGGGGAAGCCAAGGCCCAGCCCCAACTCTCTTACAAATAGAAACAGAGCCCCTGCAGCACCCAGTCATTGATAATTATCACTGGTAATTGCCATTGATAATTGTCACTGTTAATTAATTGTCACTGATAATTGTCACAGCGCCACGGGCACCGCCCCACGCAGCCAGGGAGCGCTTTGCTATTCCCGGTTTAACTCAGCCAGCGGCTCACGCTCACATCTGCGGGCCAGAACCTTCTCCCAGGTGGGCACAGGTGCGGCGGCAGCCCCGGAGCCGTGCCCGGGCACCCCGACCTTCCAGCCCCGTTCCGGGAAGCGCAGCCCAGCTGCGAGCGCTGAGCCACAGCTGCCCCGGCAGCTCCGGCCTCCAGGCTCGGCTTTACCAAGCCAGGAACTGAATCTGGGTGAGCTCTCAGCCGCTGTAGGTTCGACCAGCTGAGGAGAAACCAGCCCGGCCTCGGGCTCTAAACGCCGGCACCACGGTCCCGGAGCATCGCTCTGCTCCAGCCGCACATCTGCCATCCCAGCCAGGAATTCCTGCTGCGCCAGGGAACCCAGCAGCCGCAAGCTGAAGTTGCTTTATTTTCTTGGGGTTTTTTTTGGTTTTTTGGGTTTTTTTTCCAGTTGCAGAGCTTGAAATCAGAGATGGACAAGTCTGAAGGAGCTCCTGCCTGGCCTCTCATGTATTCCAGATGCACATGCTCCAATCGCCGCTTGCCAAACAGGATACGAGGCGCAAGGAAATAAAGCATTTTATCTTCAAGCTTTTCCAAGAGGGTATTAGAAACAATGGGGAGGAAATACAAAATTAACACTAGAGAAGAGCAATTGGAAGTGCCCTTGCTAGGCTGTTCTTCATTACAAGGCTGCCTATTCAGCGGCTTTCATTAGGAAAATCACATCGCAGAGCCATTCCCAACAGTGTCCCTATTTCCTAATTAGGCTTCGCCAAAGAGCTGCATCTCTCAGTTCCCGCCCGGCACACAATCACAACAATTACCATTTCATTGCACCCGGCCGCCGAAAACACCGCAATTAAAGCATCTGAGGAGTCACACGGGCGCGTCAGCAGGGAGACAAGTTCTCACATCGTGCTAATTGGCGGCCAAAGACGGATCAGAAGGACGGGAACGGCGGGGTTTGGTCACCGTGCTGGGAAAGGCGCTCGGGAGCTGCGGCCGCTCCCCGGGCTCCCACCCACGAGGCCGCGGACGGGGCTCGGTGCCAGCGGGGAGAGCTGGTGACGGGTCCTGTCCGCCCCTCCGGATCCTCGGGAATATCCTTGGATCACACCCCCGTCACCAAACAGCCCTGGGTGGGTCACCTGGAGCCCTCGGTGATGGCTTTGGATGGGTGGGACCCTGTCCTCACACCGGACCTGAGAGACGGGACAAGGATGGGGAGTCCTGAGCCTCTGAGGGAAGCGAAAGCAAAGGAGACAGGAGGGAAGGAGCTGCAGCTGCAGAGCCTGGATTGCATCCACAGCTCCCGTTTTCCTCCAAGCAGTGACATTTCCAGCCCGAACCAGCAAAGCACAGAGCTGTAATGACGGCAGCCCTGCAAAACCCAGGGATTTGGGGGATAGAGCTTCCATAAAAACCTCATCTTCCCTCCCCACCCTCTCACCTGGAAGTTCAAACCGCTGCTGGGAGCAGAGTTTAGACACAAAAGAAGCCTCTCACTGCTGAAAACCACCTGGAGCACTCACCGGATCACTTTCCCCTGACACCCTCAGGCACAATTTTCCACTTGCAGAGGAGTAATGCAAAATTGGGCAGCCCTGCCATGCTCAGCAGGCACCCAAAAACGAGAAGTTGAAACTACTCCAGGGTGAGCTGCAGTATGGCAAGGTCCCTATGCCACGCTGGGGTGTCCCTGGTCCCTAGCAGAAGCAGAGCACTGATTTTAGCATCCCTCAGCCCTGGGACTGCTGCAGCACGGGCAGCCCTACCAGAGCAGCTCATCCTGCTGGAGCAGTCACTGCTCCGCTCTGCCAGCACTTGCCACTGCTCTCAGTTCTTCTTTCTCAGTGCAAAACCCACATCTTCATTTTCACCTTCAGCAAAAAGGCACACGGGGTCAGTTTTGGTTTCTGTCCCAGCTGGATGCCCTGATCTCCATGGGGAGGAGGGAAAAGCCAGTGGCACCACCCTAGAGCCCAGAGACGTGGGGCTGCCCCTCAGCCAACCAACACCAGCACTCCACCTTCTCCTTCTGAAGAAGCACCTCCAACACGTCTCACACCCTTTCCTCTGCCCTGAGCAGGCTGCAGAACCGTCGTGAGCAGGGCAGGGGTGGCCACACAGAGCCAGAGAAGGCAGAGCACTGAGCTCTCCCCGCTTCAGTTCAGCGGGACCACATGGCAAGGCTGCAGCTGGCCTTGGCCCACGCTCACATCCCAGCTCCTACTGGCTCTGCCCAGCTGCTTCCTTCAGAAAGCTGTGGAGCACCCCCAGCATCACCTGGGCCCTCCAGCCTCACGCAGTTACCGTGGCTGAGGGACAGAACCACTGCAACCATCACAGCCGGGCTCTGGCTCCTTATCTTCTCACCTTTCTATATTTGAGCTCTAATCTGAGCAACCCATAGCTCCAAACCGCTTTGAAACCAGGTTTCGGAAATGCTTCGCAACTCCATCCAAGTTTGTGCTTTGAACAAGAGAAAAAAACCCCAAACACCAAATCAACAGACCTTTCTGACAGCCAGGAAAATGAAAGCCTTGACATCCTGCATAATCCCTGGAGTTTGCAGAGGACCGAGATTTAGAAAATTGACCTAAATGGGAAAACAAAATAAATTGCAGCTGTTCATCATCAGGGCAAGCAGCAGGAGCAGCACCAGCCTGCAGCTGCCTGAGCAGTTTCACTGCACTGGGAGCAGCACAGCCCCGAAACCAGCCCTTGTTGAAGCTAGCGGGTGCTGGGTGACAGCAGCCACATTGTCACAAACATGAAAACAAAGGGCTGAAAGCTCTTTTCTCCCGCTTTCGTTAGTGATTTGAATCAGCAGAGCCTTTTCCTCCCTCAGGGCTCGCACCTCCAAGGCAGCTCGGCATCCCCTGGGCGACGCCGGCGCAGGAGGGAGCGGGACCCGAGGCCGGGCTGGGCTCACTGGGTGACACCGGTGACACCGGGAGGCCACAGAAGCACCTGATGGAAGATGCTCCTCGGCTGGCACAACAACCAGCACGGGCTGCTGCAAGAGGCAGCACGGGACTGCCGCGTGTCCAGCCCCCGGTGCCGGAGGGGTGACGCTGCTGAGCTTGTCACATCCCAAACTACATCCTGTTGCCAAAGCAGAGCCTTCCCTGGGGCTGCACCTCAGCCCCTCGGACACCCAGCCGAGGGAGCAGCAGGCGGCTGGTGACCTTTAGGTCCCTTCAGGGAAGGGCTCCTGTCGCAGTGACCGGGGTAAGTCACCGCCCAACCTCCGGGTGGGATTTCCCGGGGACCCCCCCACGGCACGGTGGTCCCTTGGGGCGGGCAGGGCCCCACACCTGGCCCTGAGCAGCAGCTCCGTGGGGCCACGCGGAGGAAAACAAACACGGAGTCCCGAAATGAGTCACAGCAGCCGAGCCGTCCTCACCCGCGGGGTGACACCGGCTCCTCCTGGCCAGGCACGCCCGGCCACGGGCTGCAAGGGCACCCCGAGGGAGACGCGGCGCTGGGGGCCCCTTCCAAGGGGAGAAACCCCCACCCCAGGTAGTGACACCCCCCTTAAGAGGAAGCCCGCAGTTACACGGGACCACCACACGACACCGCTCTCTGTCCCCCTCCTGTTACCCCATTTACAGCGAGCCCCCCGCAAACCACACAGCCCCTCCGGGCACGGCGGTGCCCAGCGCACCAACGCGCCATCCCACGGCTTTCACGGACACCCCGGGAGGGAGCTCTTCCTGCTCAGGCACAGGGTGTACGGAGCCCCCGCCCGGGTCACCCCGGGCTCGGTGTGTGCACGACCTCCCCGTCCCGGTCACAGGGACACCCCGTGC